ACTACTGTACTACTACTGTACTACTACTGTACTACTACTGTACTACTGTACCACTACTGTACCACTACTGTACTACTACTACTACTGCTGTACTACTACTACTACTACTACTACTACTACTACTACTACTACTACTCCTCCTCCTCCTCCTCCTGCTGCTGCTGCTGCTGCTGCTGCTGCTGCTGCTGCTGCTCTGCTACTGCTACTGCTACTGCTACTACCACGACCACCACCACCACCACCACCACCATCACCACCTACTACCTACTACATGTTTGATGAAATCCTTAAAAATGTCTAGGGCTCAGGGCCTATAAATTGCCTTATTCAAAAACAATTAAAAACAATCAGTTGACAAGCTCACAAAGGGTACCCCTCACAAGGGCCGGTCCCCCATCAAAAATCTACACTACTACCCCCTATTAATTTGATCCTGTGTCCCTGGCCTTTTCTTTGTGCTTGTTTAAACTTGTTGTGGCTACTACTACCTACTACCTACTACTACCTACTACCTACTACCTACTGCCTACTACCTACTACCTACTACCTACTACTACCTATACTACCTACTACTACCTACTACCTACTACTACCTACTACTACCAACTACTACCTACTACTACCAACTACTACCTACTACTACCTACTACTACCTACTAGCTACTACCTACTACTACCTACTACCGACGACTACGACTACGATGGCTCCCTGAGCCGATAATTCAGGGGGGGTGGACCTCATGAGTGGTATCTCAGACCTTGTTGACCTTGTTGACCTACCATGTGGGGCGGGGGTTTATTAATCCGGGGTTGACATTAGCCTAAATTCTACAAGTGTGGCACCTGGGTACAGGACTCAAGATGGCATGATAATTCTTCTAACTGCTCGGGCATTGCAAGATTCTCGTCAGGTTGAATCAGACACAGACCAGCGGTTGTTGGAGAAGCTGGAAGGCTTGCTCTGGCAATGGAACATGTCCAATAACATTTGTGCCAGCAATATTGGCAGAGCCACCGACCAAAACTTTTTCGATTTGCAGCGTGATGGCGATTTAGCCAGACGACGTGGCCTGCTTGTGGTGGGATTTGTCGGGCGTTTTTTGTGTGTTTATATTGTGCAGTGATGCTTGTGCCTATTCATCACAACTTGACCCTATCATGACAATTTCTGCTGCAGGGCATCCACCAGTGCCTGGCCAGTCCAATGACAAACAAGACTAAAAAACTATGACGCTGACAACGCGCAACTACAACACCAACATCATCACCAACCACAAGCACACGAACACGGCGCGCCATCCAGCGGCCCGACCGACGCCCATCAGCCTCCCGCCTGTGACAGTGGCCCGACATGACAGACAACAAACATTGACACACCAAGCACCACAACACACCGTGGCCCAGGGATGCCTTGCCAGTCGCTCGGTGCACCCCGACCGAGTTATCTTACCAGTGTACCTTGGTGGGGCTATATAGCTCGAAGTAGAATAGTGTGTTTAAAACTTAAAACCAGGCGCCATGGGCGCCACGGGCCTTGCCTTAAATAACGACCTCAACTGCCAGCAAAATGCTTTCTTTTGGAAGGACACTTCTATTTGTGTAGATTTGTGTTCTGACTTTTCTGCCAGGCCAGCGTTTAGTCCGTTTAGTAGCCGTTGCTTTTGCCATGTTAGTGGCTCTGGTGATCGAAGCTGAGGGGTCTATGCACCAGAGTTCATATACATATTACATGTGTAAACATGTGTCGTTGTTTAAGCCTAGGGACTGAAAACCGGACCCACTTTTCTGACATTTTTGGACTCCACGACGCTTGGTCATGTCATCGCATGGTGTTGGGGGGGTGGGGGGGTGGGGTGAGGATCAAATTCCCCGCAGTGGAGCGTGTAATGCATAGTATCCCTGGGCCCTGGATTCAACTCACAGTCCAACAAGGGGCGAAGGCGATCGAGCGGCTGTTTTCACACGCACATACCTTGAGCCAAATGTTATGGCATGTCAATGCATTGCGTAAGAGCATATCGCAAGATACTGTAACCAAGTTGAAGCAATAGCGTCAACGGGGGCCCAAAAACAGAAAACATGGGGGGGGGCTGTAATTTCGTTCTTGCTTTCACATACGTCTCATGAGCGTGAAGGCTCAAGACGTAGCCACGGTGTGTGCTTTAGTTTTGTTTCGGTTGTCCGGTGTTCCTTGTCCTCCTCGTTTTTGTGTTTTCTTCCTTTGTGGTGCGTCAGCCCTTTTTCTTTAGAACAGTACGTAGACGGCTTAACTCGTGACTGTTCTGACCCTTGAGTTTCTTTTGTTCACGAAACAGGTTTGGGTTCAGATCATGGCTGGGTAAACTGGGAACAGGTGTTAGAAACTCGTTTTTCGTTGTTCACACTTTGGTGCAATGTGTGGTTGAGGTTTTCTTTTTCGAAAAACAGAAACTAAGTCCTTTTCTGTTGGTGACTGTTGGTGTTGAGTTGGCGTTTGTTGCGTAGTTGTAGCAGCTCCATGTCGGATGGGTGCGCCGCCGCTGATTTGCTCGACAACGGCATCGATGAAAAAGACTTTCGCACGGAGCCTGCCTGGGGACAGCTAGTTACACAAAAAGCAGGCAACTTGAGGTGTCGCGAAAAAAACGTTTTTTATTTAGGCAAAACGCATGACAAAGCACTGCGTTTACCAATGAATTTGACATGAGAACCTGCAAAAGAGGGTACGGTTTCCAATCCGTACGGCTGTTTAAGCTACAGTCGGTAGATAAAGAATTCGCATTATCATCAAGAATCACCAAGCGTCAGGAAAACAGCCGAGATCGACAATGTTCCAAAGATTTGCCGCACTGGCAGCGAACCTGCCCGACAAAGCATTGAACAAAATCAACAGACGCACAAATTGTGAAACATGCACAAACGATATCCTGAGTGTGAGAGTGGCCAAGCCAATGAGCTGATGGTGTTTCTATCAAGACTCTTTTTGATGCTAGAAGATATTCTTACAGCCCGGGACGTTTTGACAAGTGCATTTGGTCAGGCAGCACCTGGATCAGGAAGCTGGATGGCAGCCCCATGGTGGGGGACCGCGAATGATCTGTGGTTTAATGTGCTTTTAACTGTATGATATTTGCCAGACCCAGCAATCTAAATCCTCTTTCACATACGACCTTTCACTACATGCGATTACCGAGCTTCCCATCAGGCCTAATAGACTAGACCCCATGAGACGCATGTGGCATCTTTTTGAGTTTCAGGTCATGTCGTATCGAACCGGGCAGGGTGGGACTCAAAGCACAGGAAAAGATAGTTTCGGAGCGCCTTATGTTGGTGCGTCTTCACACGCCTTTTGCTGGTGTAGTAGTTGTTCTTATCGGTGCAACAGCGGTAGCATTCGAACAGTTGATTTTGGATAGTCTACAAAGTGCATGGTAGCGGAGCCCCTCCTCCTGGTATCGGAAGGGCTCCGCACCTTGAAGCGAGACATCGACGCCCTACGATTCGACTATCCCCAATGGGGCTTGACATTGCAGGCTCGCTTTGTGCACCGCGAAGTCATTTGGGACGCTGTCTTCAAGTCTCCAAATAGCTCCCTCAGTTCCAACGGTACCAATGTTCTGGCCCCTCGGTGGAATGGAGTTTATTGCGTTTGAAGCCTCCCTCTCGCCCAAGTTTGTTCCAATCGATCCCATCTCCCAATGGTTCTTTAGGTTTAGTTTTCATTGTTGGGGCACTTTGTTTTGTCCAACTTCTTATATTATACAGTATATATATATATATATTATATCGGTTTGATGTTCCATTCTGGCTTGAGTTTGCAGTTGTTGTCCTTGGTCTAGGCATGTTTGATGATGCCAACGAACAAAACAGAAGTTTGGCGAAGGAGGCAGTTCTGAAAGTGCAGGCTTGAGTACTGGAAAGGATGGAAGAAACCACTATATATATATAACGCAAGCCTCAGCCTCTATCATTTTTGCCACATGCAATCAAAAAGGAAACAGTCACACATATTATTTATGGCCCTCGCCACAGAAAGTGCTTTGCACTCTGCGTCGCAGTTCCAGCCAAGCCATTTCTTTGGTCACAGATGCCTCCCACATGCATGTGAGGTTGTATCAAGGCCGCCATCCCTCCCCAGTAAGAAAACCTAACCTGGGGCCAGTAAGGTCATGCTGACAGTAGTTTGATGTGGTAGGGGTGCACTGAGGTCATGAACATCAAAGATAAGGAGAAATCATACAGTTTCTCAGGCCAAACAGGGTGAAGATCGCACACTCCAGCTTGTTCCATCCAACAAAGTCCAGCAAACATCTACCCATTGGGAATCATTGCTGTGAGAATCGTGAGTTTGGTTGGTGCAGACTTCCAGACAGGAGTATGACAAAGGCAACAGTGACTGTATTTTGCGTGTGCAACGTCTAAATGTACAACCCTGTTGCAGGTGATGTGAACCTTGCGGCGGATCCTGTGAAGATCACATGGTCCGATGGAGACGTGTGGATACAACAAAAATAGCATACTGGGGAGATCAAACCATCGCACGCGTGTAAGACTCACGAAAAGGCAAGCTAGCTTGGCAATCTGGACCAGAATTCAGACTTACATGTCGAAAGGGACAGAAAAGGTGTCCTTTCACTGAGCACAACCTAATTGGCACGCAAGCAACGGTTTCACTTGGAAAAAGGGCTGTGGTCACTGTGGTCAAGGTGCGTGTCTTGATTGGTGTGCTGACTCGTACCGAAATTGTTGCACACCGAATGCCGAACGTAAGTCATCATTTGTAGGCACTGAAATGGCTTCTCACGTGATCATCGTATTTTCATGGGCTTGCAAAAAGTTTTGAAGTCACGACAAGTACAGTTCATGCCGCTTGTTTCACCTAGCTCCCAAAGAAGCGTCCGCGACTTTGGCTCTCGGTGCTGGAACATGTTTTGATGAGGTGTAATTATCTTCACACAAAATGTTGTTCGGTCTTCTAAGGAACAGTTTTGTTGCACGCCAATCAACCAAGACAATCAATACCTAAGACAGGGACGCAGTAAGCGTGCGGAAGATTCGTGGAAGCTCTCGAAAGGTTCGCCAAAGACAGTGCATCGGGAATCGCGAACTGGGTCTCCGAAAGTTTGAGTTTGCTACTTGGAGACAAGACTTTTGCAAGAGTTTTGCACAAACACAAAACCGAGTAACAAAAAAGCTAATTTTGCTGTGGTTGCGAAGCAGCAAAAAGGTTCGCAAGCGAACGAGCATTTCTTGGGAAACGGAATGTAGGAGAGCTTTGTTCTCAGAACATGCAAATCTAGCAAACTACACTGTAAAGACAGAAACCTACAAAGACCCAAGTCAAGAATCATTCAACCCTTTGCCCACTTCAGCACAACTGCCAGTAATGATAACAGTTTGCTTTGTTTTGATGAGCACAGGGGTGAAAACATTTGATTTTGTTCGCTATTATATATTTGGCTTTGGTGGGCACAAGCGCGCTGCCAGGGCTGCAGTTCTATTTGTAATTAGGACGCAAAGAGTAGGTGGGGTGCCAAGATGGCAGGTTTGCGGTAAAAGGTGCGCAAGGTTGATCAATGTCATGGTTTCATATTATACAATAGCAATGGCCTCCAACCTAGTAGCGATGGCCTCCAATCTAGTAGCGATGGCCTCCAACCTAACAGCAATGGCCTCCAACCTACTAGCGATGGCCTCCAACCTAGTAGCAATGGCCTCCAACCTAGTAACAACTCCAGAGAGGTGATGGCGGTGATGAAGTGAATGTGGGTGTGAGTGAGTGTGGGTGAGAGGGAGTGTGAGTGTGAGTGCGGGAGAGTGAGTGTGAGTGAGAGTGAGCTCCAACCTAATAGCAATGGCCTTCAACCTAATACTGTATTTCAATGTCCTCCAGCCTATCATACTAGTTGCAATGCACTGGAGGAGTTTGTGTTTCGCTAATTTGGCTCAGCCCGCCCTGTGAAGCCACACCGCAGATTGCGGAAGGGGCTGTTAGGGGGGCGGGGCATTCCAATGAAGTCGGATGAACATGGAGAGGTGAGCTGTGAACGTGAGGTTGTTACAGTGACGACTGTAGAGTGTTTGTTACGCTTTCCGAAGATTGTTAACCAATATTTTGGGCAGGCGCAAGAGCGCATCAACCGGATTTTGGAGATAGTGAAAGGGGAGAAGCTTGCCAAGAGCGGGCCAAAGCCAAAATCCAAGGGACAGCAGGCAGGCGCAGTGTGTTTTCGTTCGACTGTAATACCAAAGATGGTGTCTCGTGTCAATTGATCGATTTGGGTTACGTGTGTTTAGTTAGTTGGACCGGACACGCTGATGTTGAGCTTCTTTACGTTGACTCCACACCGATACTCGAGTTTTGAAGTGTAATCTGTTGCACAGCAAGTGCCCGCGGAATAACCAGTTGTTGAACTGTGAGCGAGTGTTGATCCTTGATTTCATTTGCCCTCCAGGAGAAGGGTCGAAAAACAGGCCGTGGCAAGCAAGACGAAAGCATGGATCTTGAACACGCACCAAGCGCTGCCAATGCCAAGGTCGCATGAGAACCTGATTCAAAGATGTGTGTGTGTGTGTCACACCCTGATTCTAAGGGTTCCCCACCTTCACGTTTTTCACTTTGACAAGAGTCTCACAAGCAGGGGCACTGAGCACTCCTTGGCAAACTCAGTGCAACGAAGCTATGCCTTGGA